TACAAGAAAAAAGTAATTATTATATATTTATTGTCAACTTTACATAGATTTAAAAAGTAAATGAGATTTAAAAAATAAGAACCTACATTAAATAAAGTGCTTATTTCTTATATTCTTAAAATAAGTTTCAGACTTACAAACAAATTCTTATATTTATTTCAAACATAGACTTGCAAAGATAATCTACTCCTGCATTTCCTCCTCTGTTATTAGCTAATAGTGAGTGATGGTGAAGTGAATCGAAAAGCTCTGCTGTTTAGGAAGACGATGTTTGATTCATCTTTCCTAGGACAACTCAAACCATTTGTAGCATTTCATAATAATTCAACAACTTCGAAAATTTATGCAGTAATCTAACGTTAATGATGTTAGAAACGATAACCTCCGAAACACCATCGTTAGAACCTCGTAGGTAAGGTAAGAACATCGAGCCTAATGTAACAAAAACCTTAAAGCACTTAAAAGAAGGAAGACAACAACTATATATCTATAAGCAAGGTCTCCTCTTTTCCATTTCCCTGCTATAAGAGATATATCTACACATTATAAATGAGCAGTTCCAGATCAAGGTTCAAACCCAGAGCGAATATCTTAATAAGTTTAACCAGAACGATGTAGGAAACTGAAGCCAAGAAATCCCAGAACAAGCCAGATAATCAAAACCTAACCAATTTAACCATGGTTTGGCTTTTTACAAAACCTCCTTGATTCCTCCCATCGACTTTAATGTGTGGGGTGGGAAATTTGGGAATTTACTAAAAATATCTAACAGAATCCTCTTTTCTAAACAAATCATATGGACCCATAAGACTTTGAGCTCAATCTTAAACCAAGGGACAAAAGCCAATGTGAGTCCAGAATCCAGATTATCAAAGATAAAAACAGAGCAGTTCCATGACCTTCCTAAATTCTCAAAGATCAAATTTTGTGTTGGAAGCTGGACAATTCAATTTTATGTTCAAAACTTCAAAGAAAAGATAAAACAAGGGAGATCCACTCTAACTGAATCATCAATGTGAAGAAGAAAAATGCAGATGGGTTGATATCTCTGGAATAGTATGGTCATTCATTTCAAAAATATGTTTTGGAATATCTATCAGAATAATGGAAGCACTGTAGCACCCCATACAATAAGCCTATGTATGGTTTGAAAGTGTTAATTTCTGTAGTAAGAATAAGAAATAGAGTTGAAAAAGAATAGCAGAGATAGGATAAGGTAGAATGAGAACAGCATTTCTAAATCCATTTTCAATCCAAGCTAGTAGAAGTCTTATTCTTACCTAGCCATATACAAATAAAACATCAATCCATAAGAACTTCAAGGTAAAACTGGAATGTCAAGGCCATTCTAGTAACTTGGTAAAAGAACAGAAATGTCGTTGAACCAAACACACAAGTATAAATATGCTGCGATAACTTGACAGTGAGATTAGAGGAAGCTGTCAAAAGTATGTAGTAAATATGACATGAGGTTTCCTTACTGGAGATTTAATAACTCAAAGTTCAACTCTCACCCATCTTGAGAAAATGTAAAGCAAAATTGTTTACATCATATAGATTAACCAATATTTACATCATATAGATTAACCAAGATCCATGTAAAACTGCAAAAGATCTTTATAGATTAACCAATATATTTTTACTACAAATTCTTCTACCTAAATTGGTAAACTACATTTTGGAAATACTATTCATCCACCTTTTAACACCAAAAGTTTTAAAAAAGAATAATCATCTGATTATTAAAAAAAAAAAAAAACACAATCCAGCCTCTCTACAAAACCAACATTCATGTCTGATTATACAACTCAGGCTCCTTGTCATCTGGTGAATGAATTCTTTCCTTGTGAAAAAATGCAACTCAAGAAATTCATGCTTCAATAAACTAAATTTACCACAAACAACAACATCAATGGCACAGTAAAATCAAAAGCCAGAAAACCAGTTACCTCATTACCTTCATTAACCTTTCATGGAGGAAAGCAATCTTTCCACGTACTTCCCCAAAATATCCACCTCCAGATTCACCTTCTGCCCAACTTTCTTCAATGGAATCACTACATGCTGCTGCGTGTAAGCAACCAGCATGAAGTTAAACCAACTCCCGTCATCACAGACGTCCACAACCGTCAAGCTAGTCCCATCAACGGCTATAAACCCTTTAGGCACCACGTACTGCAATATACTCTTGTCAGCTTTGACTTTGACCCACAAAGAATCTCCTTCCACTTCCATCGAAACTATCTCCCCCGTCCCATCAACATGCCCCTGCACGAAATGCCCGCCCATCCGGTCCACCGGTCGGACCGCTCGTTCTAGATTGACCAACGAACCCGGTTCGAGCTCTACCAACGAGGTTTTCCTCAACGTTTCGGGGGATAATCCGACGGTGAATTCGTTCAATTGGGTGTCGAATTCCGTCACCGTCAGGCAGGTTCCATTGACGGCGATGCTGTCGCCGAGTTTCACGTCCTCGAGGATAGTCTTCGCGTGGATTTTCAGGTCGAACCCGCCATGATCGACGACACCAAGTTGCTTGATTTCGCCCATTTCTTCGACGATGCCTGTGAAAAGACACCGGATTGTGGATTTCCGAAGGGGATTGATGGTGGGTTTTGCATTACAGGTGCGGGTGGTGAAGAGGGAGAGAGGGGATGGCTTGAGAACTGGAGAAAATTTGAGATGGGTTTTGGGGTTTGTGGTTAAGAGACTGAAGATTTGGGTTTTTGGTGGGGAGGGTTTTGGGATTTTGGAGAACGAGTTCAGCGAAAATGTGAGCGCCATTTTTGTTTGGATTGAGGGGAAATTTCCAGGCTTTTGCAACGCTGGCCGGTACTCCTTGGCTCCAAATCATTATAATTTTATATAAGGCTAAATTATAAATTTTTTCTCTTGTTATTTCTAGGGTTGTGAATTTAATCCATGAAGAACCTTTACATTAAATTAAATTTAAAATTTTTAGTTTCAGTTCAATCTTTGTGAGCAACTACGGAGTTTGTATAATTAGTTATATCCTCGGACTCGGTTAGTATAAGTATTTACTAAATAAATACTTACATACTACTTTAAAAAGTAGAGAACAAAATTATGGTTATGCTAAAATATTCTTACCTAATTAGCACAGCCAGCCCTTTTCTTAACCTGGATTCAAACTTTCCTCTTTTAAACAGTTGTTGAGGTGTACATACATTAGGTTACCCACATAAGAAAAAGACTTTCAATAAGAAGACAAAAATGATTTGCTTATACAATTCAAAGTCCAAGCATAGTAGATAAAAGTAGAATTACTTGTAGGTAGACTGTGATTGAGAATCTCAACTAACAACACAAAACCAACATTTATATCTTCATGCTAATGCCATGCCTTTATTCTCCTCCTCACAAACAATTCCACATATATATGTATGTGGGTGTGTGTGTATAGACTTTGTGTATTCTCAAACTAGTTTTCTGCAATACCCACCAAGTGTTTTGTAAAAATTTAAACACCCATCAATGTCTAAAACCAAGAGGATATGCACCCTTCTGCTAAGACTCATGGCCTTCGCCGCCACTCTATCAGCAACCATTATCATGGCTACTAGCCATCAAACAGCTTCTTTCTTTGCAGTGTCCCTTGAAGCAAAATACAGTGACACACCGGCATTCAGGTAAGTTCTCTGATTGTCTTTCTCGGATAGGCCTGTGTCTGATATTCGTGAATTAGGCATCCAAATCTGCAATACCAAAATCATGTGGTAACAAGCAATGTTAATATTGATTCATGTACTTGGTCAATGTGAGGTTAACATTCTATGGTAGTATTTTTTGTTATTTTGAAATGAGTTGTGAGATTTTCTTTTTGGTGTATGTAGGTACTTTATGATTGCCAATGCCATTGTGAGTGTATATGGTTTTCTGGTTCTGTTTCTTCCCACAGACAGCATGCTCTGGCGATTGGTTGTTGCCTTGGATTTGGTAATTATACACAACCTGAAATTCTCTTCTCTTTTCTCTTGCAAGGCTTATTTCCTGTTATACAAACCCAATCATGCAGTTATGTGTTTATTTTACTTGAAATAAACAATCATGCATCTGTTTATACGCATATATATATGTACATATGCGTATTTTATATTGCTGCTTTTTACCAAGCTGTAAAACGAACCAGGTCAAAGAGGAGTTTTTGCTTCCAGGCCATTGTTAGGCCATTGCTGGAACCCCATTTGAAAGGGTGCTCCAATGACACTCAATGCCACTTGACCTGAGTAGCTCAGATAAGAAATAACATACTTTTTTTTCGGGATATATACCCTAAAAGCACCTGCATTTTTTTCAAAATTCATATTAACTGCTGCAATAATTTTTTGTTCAAATACAACCTGTATTTTCAAATTTGTCTAAACTAATCTTTATCGTTAACAATGTATCATTTAACACCATTTAATAGATATCTACATGGCAAATGAGTGGCTACATAGATATTTTCAGAAGTCATATGGAAAATGAAATTTCGTGCGTGAAAGATAGAAGAAAGGGAAGAAAATAAAAACTGCAAGCATAGCAGCCATGCTGACAACGTTTTCAAAAGTGGTCAGTGTGCCAGTCACATCGCAAACATGCTAGTTGTTTTTTAAAATATAATGTCTACTTGGCAACGTCGTCTGCCACATGATAATCTATTAAACAATGTTAAATACACTGTTAACAATGGGGGCTAATTTAGACATGAAAATATGAGTTTGTATTTGAAACAAAAATTATTATAGGAGCCAATATAGATTTGTTGAAAAGTACAGGTACTTTGGGTATCTATCCCCTTCTTTTTCCCCTCAGCTCTATATAAAAAAACCCATAACTCAGACAGAAAAGACATTAAAATGGAGAATAGTATTAACCACTCAACCAAAAAAAAGAAAGAGAGAAGTACTAACCTTACAACCAAGAAAAAGTCAAGAAAATATTGTGCATAAAAATAGCTATATATATATACAAAGAAAATCATGAAACTCTTAAAGTACATCACCATATTTTCTGGTAATCTTGGACGTGACTGCGAATTACTGTCAGTGTTATTGACTTATAGTAATTATTAGTTAATTGATATCATCTGGTGTGCAGGTTTTCACAATGTTACTGACTTCAAGCATCTCAGCAGCATTAGCAATAGCTCAAGTGGGAAAGAAAGGGAATGCTAATGCAGGATGGTTGCCCATCTGTGGGCAAGTGCCAAAATACTGTCACCAAGTAACAGGAGCTTTAGCTGCTGGCTTCATTGGAGTTGTCATACACATGCTTCTCCTCCTTTATTCAATCCATACTGTTCTAAATCCACTTCTTGTTCAAAAGACCTAAATCTCTCTCTCTCTCTCTCTCTCTGACTTAATTAAAAGGGCCCTTTTTATTATATAGCTCTCAATGATGGAATTCAGTTTTATCTCATCTTCTTTGTTTTGTAATTTTCTCGTGTTTTGCTTCTTCTTCTTGATTTCCTCAAGCCTTTGATGGTTTAATCTCTGTGTCACTTTTTTGGCTTCTGTTTGGTGATTTTCATATGGAGAAAGTATAGTCACATCCTTAAATTTTGAGCCTAATTACAGTTCAATCAATGAATTCTAATCCAAAGGCAACATCAGCTGTATATTTTTCAAAAAATAATCTATAAGATACAGATTCACCCATGTGATTTCACTCTATTGCAATTTAAATTCAACTTCTGTTTTTTCTTACACACTGTCATTAGAAATTTATAAGCTAAAGTATTACAATGCATAACTAAACTATAATGATGCCCAATCTATTGTCGACTTTCAAGACATTGCACTTTGCAATAACAGCATAGTGAGTTAGGGTTTTTCACCAAAGTCAAACCCATCACAATCCCTTAGAAAACCTCACCATCTACTGTCGGTTAACAGGCTGATGAGCTGTGAACCGAAAGGCAACAAGTTATTACAGAGGATCACATAATTGTTTGCAGTTACATAAAAGGGTCTCATGATATAATTATGGACAAGTTTTTTAACATAAAACAGTTATTATTAACAGCTAACTGAGTTACATCAAAACTCTATCTCAACAAGGGTAGTGGTGCCAATTTCCACATGTTCATCATGATAACCATATCCATTTCAACAGAATGGACTATCAAAATCTGTTAAAGGTTCCCAGTTCCTCTAATCTCTCATTTTTCTAAACCAATCACAACAGAGAATGTAGCTGGGATGAGGCTCTTTTATTACAACTCAATTACTCGAGTTTGAATCTATCCCTACCTTGTGGGGGAAAAAAAAAAAGGAGAGAGACTCTTCCACCACATGGTAAAGGAATAATTGCAAGTCTGGGAGAGAATTTATCAGATAGACAAAAGAATTTTGTGAAGGGTGCAAGAAGCAGTACTATATGAATATCATACAATTTTAATATCAAAATCACTCAGCAAACTGCAATTCGGCTTATCAGGGGGAGTGTATATATAAAGTTTCTTGATCAAAACATTAGTACTCAAAGCACACAGTTCTAATTTACGGGCACAAAATTGGGCTAAACAAAAAATAATTCAATATTAAACAGCACAGAAATCTTGCGGAAAATCAGGCTGCTAACTAAAATTCAAAATAATTACAAAAAACTTTGTTCTTAACTGGACTAATATTATGTTACCTTGGCTTGCTCCACCATAATTTTCCTTGAAGAAACAAAGCTTTCTACACGTGTAGTTGCTCCAAGAAAATTTTGCATAATAACGGCTTCTTCTTCCTCCTCCTCCTCCTCCTCCGGATCTTCTCCAACATACCAGATCTATAGAAAAAGTAAGTTCAGGTGGCAGATGAATCCATTCAAATTCCTAGCTAGTAAGCTTGAAACCCTAGATGTTCTTAGCATTTTGCAAGCTTTTTCACCCTCGCCGATGGTCACAGCAATTCTTGAGACCTTCTCGTCGCTGTCGCTGTCGCTGTCGGCCATTGTTTTCCTGCCTGTGCGTGCTCCACCGTACGGTAACCCATCACGGTAAATTTATAGGTTTCTTTCTTGTCGTTTCACTCCAATTTTGTAAATAAAATTACTTCTACAAGACTTTATATATGTTAATTTTTTTTAATTTTTTTTTATATAAATCTCAAATTAAGGAATTATATTTAAAATTTATTAATATATAATTCCGTAATTTAATAAATCTTACGTATTTAATTTTGTAAATATGTTAACACATAATTTCTTAATAAAATTTTATAAATATAATTCATTAATTTAACATTTACATTTAAATTTTTTCAATAAAATAACATACCTATAGAATAAGTATAAAATAATTTAATAATACGTATAATGTAACACATAAGTTCAAAAATTTAGTTCGGAATAATTTTACATTAATAATATATTCCATTAAAATAATTTAATCTTATCTTTTTATTTTATTTTTACAAAAATTTTGAGAAAAATAAATTTATAGATGAAATTGAAAACAATTTTAAAAAAATAATTGAAATTATGAATAAGAAATTGTATTTTTGAAAAAAAAAAATTTAAACATAGGGTAAAATCGTAAAAAAAAAAATACGGTCACGTTAGCAACAACAGTAAGTCAAAACACACCGCGTGGCGGACACACTGACATCGATTCCACGCGAGAGGCGACGTGGGCGATCCATATGGCAGTGAATCCAACGGCCCAGATCGCATCTCGCATGCACGGATGCCCTAAATGTGTTTCCTCTTCAGGCACGATCAAACGGTCAAATTTAATCTAATCATACGATCCAGATTCATTTATCAAATGAAAGAGATCCAATGAACAAGAGAAGACCCTGTGTCCCTGCACAGACGGCCTAGATCGATTTGAGGAGAGTGAGATAAACGGTTAGGATGGAATAGGTGAAATCAACGGTTGGGATGTGAAGTTGGGATAGGAATAAAAAGTGGGCAGTCGATTGTGTGAGAGAGAGGAGTGAACGAGAGGTATCGTGAGGACGAGAACGGAGCTTGTGGATGTATGGGTGTGGTGTAGGGACTACCATAATCGTGTCGAGTTGGTAAGGTGCTATGGTTAAAACAAATGGGTAGAGTGCAAGTCTGTTATGTGGTTGGAGAATGAGGGGCTAACAGTAATGTAGCACCCGGAAAGGAGGAGAAAAAAAAAAAAAAAAAAAAAAAAAAGGGCGGCCACGTCAGCAGCCACGTCAGCAGGCCCAGTCAGCAGGCCCAGCCAACCAGGGCCTGCCACGTGGCAAGACCGCGTCACTCCAAAAGGAGCCACGTTGGCGATCCGCGTGGGTGCGATCCGACGGCCCAGATCAATCACGCGATCGGACGGCCCAGATTCAATCGCACGGACGGCCCAGATTCAATCAAAAACGAACGGCCCAGATTAAAACAAAATGAACGGCTGTGATCAAAAGGCAAGGGGTTATAAATAGAACCCCCACACCAGACCACAAACCCTAGCCGCCAGCCGCTCGCCTGGAGAAGACGAACCAGAGGCCGACCGCCGCCACCCGCCGCCACTCGCCGCCGCACCGGGGAAATTTCCGACCGCCGATCGAGGTAAATTTCATACCCCCGACTCGTTTTTCCCCACTGATTCCTCCTATGGCCAAATCGAAACCGAAATCCCGGCCAAACGGCCGGAATACGCGGCCGAAGCCCAGCGGCGCCGCCGCGCCCCCTCTCGGTTTTTGCCTCCGACGAGGCCCTTCCCGGCCTCCGTTCGATGCAATTTTTATATCACCGTGATCACCATTCTTTTCTCTACAGGTTGACCGGAGCCGAATCACCAAAACACGAACCTCGCCGGAGAGCCGCTGCACCCGAGAGCACCGCCGCCGGTAAGCTCCGTTTTTCCGTGATTTTTTGGCCCCCCGAGGGCCCTAGGGCTGTTTTCTGACAAGGACCAATGCGAGTGTGGCCGAATTCGGCCGAAAACGGCCGAAAACAGTCAACCCGAGGCGACTCGCCGCCGCCAGCGGCGGCGCCGTCGCCGGAGCACGGCGGAGCCGCCGTGCCGGAGTTGCGATTTGGTCCGAAAGGGGCCCTGGGCCTAATTTGGATTTTTTTTGGAACATGTGCAGGTACTGTTAGTGTGTTTCAGTTCCCCGGGAAAAATTCAGGGAAAATTAGGGAAGGCCTGCAGGCGCACTGTGAATCGTATTCGGATCTCGAAAACAAGTAAGGACCCCTCACCCTATTTCCTATCACGGTATTAAAGTTCAAAATAATAAAACGGTATTTCTTGAATTAACGCATGTGTGAAATTGCTTAAGGTTGCTAATGGAGCCCGAGTCTAGTGTGATTGATGATTTACTGTTATTTGGCCTGTTTTACAGCTTTAAATGCATTATGGGGTTTGATGTGTTCATTTTATAGTTTCGAATGCACATATTACTGTTTTATTAATTATGGGTTGAATGACTGAAGAACTGATACTGTATGTTGTCTGTTCGGCATGAATTACGATTTGCTTGTTTAAATGTGAATTGATGATGCTTATTGAGGAAAAAGGGAAATGAAACATTGTATAGACTGATAATTGTATGATGGGGTCAGCCTGACTAGATATCCTGGGAGATGGTGGACGGACCGGGTCCGTAGGGAACCCTACCGGGATTGTGGTCTCACATACCGGACGGGGTATGGAGATCTTATGGTTTTGGCGCCCATACCGGACGGGGTATGGGGACGGCCCGTTTCACCCTCATACCGGACGGGGTATTGAGGTTTATGGTTTTGGCGCCCATACCGGACGGGGTATGGGGACGGCCCGTTTCACCCTCATACCGGACGGGGTATTGAGGTTTATGGTTTTGGCGCCCATACCGGACGGGGTATGGGGACGGTCCTGGAAACTGATTATGAATGTTAAAGGTTAACGGGTAGCGGAACCCCTATGGACCCCCACGGATACTAGTAGGCTGGTAAATGAGAAAAGGATATGTTGTACAATGATTGAATTACAAGAGGCGTGATAAGTGTTATGTTTTACAGCTTAGATTATTCAATGATTATGATGATGTTATTGTTTTTCTCATATTGTTTTCATAAATTCCACCAAGGTAAGTGGATGGTAAAAGTTTTATTATTGATAAAAGGTTTTATTGTAAATTATGCTCCATTGGTCTTTTGTGTTTTTTCTACCCACCTTTACCTCCGTGACGGTGAGATATCGTGATGTTCTTACTGGGCTAGTGTAGCTCACTCCTTATTTAACCATTTCAGATCAGGAAGACATGGTTCCCGAGCCCGTTCCGCAGGAGGACGACGAAGGGGATACCTAGAGACTCTGTAGTCATACTCATAGTTTTATTTTCGAGTTTCTCTCTTAGTTAGTTTAATCTTTTATATTTTAAGTACGTTTCTGGTTTTTCGTGTAAGGGATGTTAACTGAAATTTTGATATCGCTTCCGCATTTGATATATTCAAATACTCATTTCATTTTAATATTTACGGGGCCGTTACAAGTAAAGGGTTAGGTGGGATTAGGAGGGAGTAGTGTTGTCATTTAATAGTTATCAAAGGAGGAAAACAAAATGAAGAAAAATGATAGTAGGGAAGGAGGTCATTTAATTGTCATTCATAAGTTTTAGTTTCAAATTTCATTTTATTGGGCTATATACATTCATTACTTACATTTCATATACTTTAAGGCGAAAACGAAAATGGAAAGCTTATCAATGGAACACTGGGTTTACAAGTAGTAATATACTCGCAATATTAGAATAGTGTTGGAATTTTTATGTGTATGGTGATAATTGAAGAGTTTCTTTTTGAAGTAATGGATAGATGTGATTTGATTTGAGAATTATAAATATTTTGTTTGGAGTAAAATAATGAATAATATACAATTTTATAATAAAAATCGTTTAGAGGTGTCACAAAATAAGTATAAAGAAATTTAATAATTTATGTAATATTATGAATTTTATAAATATAATTCCTTTAATTTTATAATTATTATTTGTTTATATTATAAAAATATTCATTTAAATTATAATTCGTTAATAAAAAAATAAATATCATATTTTTTAAAAAAATTAAAAATTAAATCAAAATTTTAAACTACTAGTAATTATTTTAAATAAAAAAAATTAAAAGTCACATAACATTTTATTTATTTTAAAAATGTAATTAGCTCTCTATGAATAATTTAACTTATCAAAAAATAAATTTTCACAAATTTTTTATATTTATAGAAAAAAAATTATGTAATGATTTAATATTATTAATTAAAAATATTAAACCATTTAATTTTTTTTAAAAAAAGATATTCAACGATAAATTATTTTCTAGTAAAATAACTAATACGATTATACTTTTTGTCATAAAACAAACAATAAAAAAAATTATTATTTTTTTTCTAAAAAACAATAACCATCCAAAACCAATATTAATTATATATTTAACCAAAATACATAATATATAATTAGTATATATATATATATATATATATATAATATATATATGTGTGTGTGTGTGTGTGTGTGTTATATATAAAAAGAAGAGTCGGTCAACACCTCATCCTTATCCAACCTTCAAATCCCAACAACAAATCGCACATTTTAAAAACGTTGCTCTCTCTCTCTCTGTGGAAAAAATAATTAATAATACTCGAAAGCTCTGTACTTTACACGCAAAACAGAAAACAAAAAGAAACATCAACCCAATTTCCTCTAGGCTAATCAATCAAAGCAAGCAATCAACCTTTGAAGCGAAGCAAGCAGGGAAAACGAAGACTCAAACCCACAAGTTTTTATTTTACTTTTCTCGATTCAAACCTCAAAGTTCTCGTTTTTCGATCTATCGGAGTTATGGCGTCTGGATCGTCGGGCCGGGCTAACTCGGGCTCCAAGGGATTCGATTTTGGCTCCGATGATATTCTCTGCTCATATGAGGACTATGGAAGCAACCAGGATTCCTCCAATGGACCTCATTCTGATCCTGTGATTAGCGCTGCCAGTTCCGGCAAGGTATACCTCTATATATTCTTTGTTTTGGAGCTAGGGTAAAATATTTATTTATGTTTTTGCTTTTTTTCTTGGGGTTTTAAAGGAATTTCATAAGGGTTTTTGGATTTGCGGGTTTTTTTTGGAGTAATTTGATTACTTTAGCATTTTGTTATAGATGAGTGTTCTGGTGGCGAAGTAGCTAGCTAGGGCTTGGGTAAGAATTAAGAATTTGGCGAAAAATGAATACGAATATTTGAAAAGAAATTGTTGGATTTTTTAAATAAATAATGCCGGACTTGATGAGGATTTGCTAAGAAGAGCCCAAAAGTTTTTGGTTCCTGCTTGTTTTGGTAATTCTCGTAGCATGTACTATCTGTAGCTGGTCAGATTGTATTCACGTATATAAAGTCTAAGCTTTTATTTGATGATGAGATGTATTGGTTAGGGGCTTGACCTTTGATTCGCAAAAGAATACAAGGCATTTCTTTTTTTAATGGGAAGGAGAGGGGAGCTCGGTTTAGTGTCATCGAAGTTCCAATTAGAGGAAAAGCATGATTTAAGGTTGTGTTTAACAAGAACTCTGCTAGCAGAAATGCAGGTCACTAAATGCTGGAAAAGGTTAAGAAAAAAAAAATCAACGGCGAGGAGATGCTTGAGAGTGTTCGGATGGTAACAGGTTTAGATTTTTTATTATGTTACAATGTTTGTTGTAGATTATTGTATCGCTTCTAAGCGGTCCTCACTAACGATAATAAAAAGAAGGCTTGAGACAGCAATCCTAGACGAAACAGTATGCAACGTTTTGGCAGTTTCCTCCTTGTCAAGGATTACGTTGTTCGTCAAGGAATGGTTTATAGTATATTAAGACTCAAGGCAGCATTTAACTCTCACATATCAGCATTGAATATTACTCAGACTCTCGAAAACGTAGTTGTTATACCAAAATCAAAGGAAAAAACTTTTTCTTAGGACATTCTTGTTTACTACCTTGTGTAAGTTTATTACAGGCTTGCTTGGTAGCCGTAGAATATGAAGCAAGTCCTGGGTTTTGCACTAGATTGTAAAAATGTAATGATGAGCTCTAATTGCAGAAAAGAACATGAATTTTTGGTTTGTGCTGAAGATGTATAATCATAACTGGACTGTTTCTCAGACATTGTGAAAGCTCCTAGGACCACTATATTTGCTAGCCAATCTTTGAGTTCCTATTGATGATTTATTTATTTATTTATTTTGATATAAAAGTATGAAGCTTGTATTGATGTAAGGTGCTAAGGGAGCACCACCCATGTACAAAATTTACATCTCAATTACAATATCTACAATGTCAACTAGATCATCAAAAAAATCAAGGTTATGCCCTAATAAGTTAGAACCAAAGTAATGAAACCAGTTGTCCTTTGTTGAAATTAGACTCAATTCCATGAAAAGCCCTGTTGTTTCTTTCTTTCCAGATGACCCAAAAAATAGTAAGGGGAATGAGTCTAATAGATTTATTCATGCTGTCTAAACCCTCCCAGGCCATCAATTCGGTACAAACATTTTCAGCCATTGCCCAAGAAGCTCCCAACAGTCCAAGAATCCTGTCCAAAGATTATGAGTAGTCGGGCATCTCAAAAGAAGGTGATTGCAGGTTTCCAGGGCACTTTTACATAGGAAGCATCTGTTTGCAATAAAGTGACCTCTTTACAGGGGAAGTCCTGTTGATGATTTATCTATGTCTGAAGTCTGACAATATTCATAATTAGGATTTTAAATTAAAAGGAAAACATATATATATTTTTTATCTTACATCTAGTAAGCAATGAGGAAAGCTGTGTGCATGTTCTGCTGCGGTTTCCTGTGGCTTCTGGGTTGTGGAATCCTATTTTTAGTATGATTGGTGTTAGCTGGGTGATGGTTGGATCTATTAGGGAGGAATTGTGATCTTGGGAACAGGTTTATTTAGAAAGAAAGTTGAAAAATCTAATTTTTTTATCCTTATTTTGGATTCTATGGAAGGAGAGAAGTTCTAGAGTATTTGCAGGTAAAGCTGATGATTTGTATAGTTTGTGAGATAGGTAGTTGCATTTTTTTGGGTTTTTATTGTTAGAGCATGACATGATTAGTGATGTAGATTCTGGACATGTCATTGATTTGCTAACTATATTGTAAAGTTTTTGTATAGGGGCAGTATCCCTTATTGTTTGGTACCATGTTAAGAGAATTTCACACTTTTTATTTCAAAAAAAATCTAGTAAGTAATGCCTGCTTCCTGATATTTTCACAGGACTTTCATAAAAGTCGAATGGTCAGGACATCCGTATTTCCTGCAAATGCTTATACCCCACCGGAGGATACAGTTAACCAAGATGTGATATCTACTGTTGAAAAAACGATGAAAAAGTATGCTGATAACCTAATGCGCTTTCTTGAGGGAATCAGTTCACGTCTGTCACAATTGGAATTGTATTGCTACAATCTAGATAAATCAATTGGAGAAATGCGATCTGATTTAGTTCGTGACCATGGAGAGGCAGATACAAAGCTTAAATTTCTTGAGAAGCATCTTCAAGAGGTGGGTTTACTATGAAATTTTATAAGTTTATGTATGAAAATTTGGGTTTAGCATTTTGCCTTGAGGTACAGAGTGCAATAAGATCTCATGTACCTCACTCTTTGGTATTGGCTTTTTGAAATTAGTTTTCAGGATCCATCTAATAATTTTTGTGTCTTAATGGGTTAGTGGTTGTGCTCTTTTGCTAGGTTCCTTTGTCCTTTGCAAAAGGATTGGGTTATTTCTCTTTAATTGAAGCCTTTTCCTTGTGTCATTGTTCTTTTCTACTTTATGAGGATTCCTTATCCTTGTTATAATGCATTTTTCTCTCTTTCTAATAATTCTTCCTTCACCAAAGAGGGAAAAGTTGACCTCTTTTCCCTATTTGTGACCCTTCCCATGAAATGCTATTGCTCCCTTAAATTTGCATGACATTGAGAGGTAGAACTTTATCGTAAGAAGTTATTTGCTGCCATGAGTATAAATGAAAGGTGTTGTCAAAAAACTAGAGCAGTTGCTTATAAAATTAGGCATGTGAAACAGAAAATGTCAGAAATCATTTAGGTAATTGTTGTATGCTACCGAATCATGAAGCTTCAGAATATGGATTTACCTTGTGGATCTAATTGTTGATTTTTGAGAAAAAAATTTTGATGTGCAGTTATGGCATATTTGGTAGAGCTTTGTTCAAATGGGAATTGGGGAAAAAAATCCAGTTGTTCATCTTCCTTCCTTTTTCGGTTGATTGTGAAATACTAACTCAATTTAATTCTTATTCCTTTTCCGTTTATCTTTCCCATATGCTTTACCTAATTGATGGTGAAGGGATAGGAGTCGATATAGCCAAATGTAAGTCCTATTGTAAATTATATTCAGGTGATTAGATTTGCACAAATGGAAACCGAAAGTTCAAAGCAGTAAAAGATTATGGGATTTCAGTCGTTTTGTCAGCAATGATACTGTATCATCTGTGTTGCTTGAACTCTTTAATTTTAATGCAATACCCATGTCAGACATGACATGACATGTCATTGGTGTGATTATGGGATCTGTGTCAGATCCTTGATGATCTAAAACTAGAAGTCGTGATATACTAAAATATTAAGATGATGAAACAAACTCTTAGAATAGAAGTTGAAAAAGGGCACATCAATAGGAATTCACATTCTTGAATGTTTAAATTTTGAAAATATTTTTGTACTTAATTAATTGTGTTTTACTATTTGGTATTTTTTTTCCATTCGCTACAAATATGAGGGTGGTATTTTTTTGTGCTAAAGACTGTATTTTATTACGTATATAGCGTCATCATTAGCTTCCTAAAAGCTTATATTGTTTTACTATTTCCATGTTAAACAGATCCAAGAACCCATATCCAATTGTGGACTCTTATTGATTAGATACCCGCATCTTTGGTACTGGACTAGACAATTAGATGATATCCATACTGGACACTTGCATTCCATTCTGGGCAACATTTTTTGGCATGCTGAGTCTCATGCATAATGGGCTTCTTTAGATTGATCCTAGCCAGATAATTCTGAAATACAATTGTCATTTTCTTATATTCATTATGCTTTAAAGCCTCTGTATTAGACAAAAAACAGATATTTGTTGTTTCTTTAAGATAATTTCCTGTGGTTCATAATGGCATTACCCATTGTATTTTTTTAATTCTATGTCATTGCATTTTGGAAGTATACCCGAACAATTTTTGTTTATCTTTACTTCACTTTTGGTTTGATTGTCATCCACCTCGGTTTGTTGGTTTTTTAACATCCTCTTATCTTTTTCTTGCGGAATAAGTGTCTTGATCTTGATGTTGCTTAAGTAATTCAAATGATTTAATTATGTACTAAAGCTTTTTCCATGGCACGCTACATGTAGGTCCACAGATCAGTGCAAATCCTGAGAGACAAGCAAGAACTTGCCGATGCCCAGAAAGAGTTAGCTAAACTGCAACTTGCGCAGAAAGAGTCATCATCTTTGAGCAATTCACAATCCAGTGAGGAGAGGACAACGACTCTTGCCATCGAATCGAAGAAGAATGACAACGCTCCTGACATGCACAACCAGCAGCTTGCTCTTGCTCTGCCCCATCAAGTGGCTCCGCAACAACATACTCTGCCTCCCAATTCCCAGTCCCCTCCTCAGAATTTGACCCAGCAACAATCTTACTATATTCCACCAACCCAATTACAGAACCCCCAAGCACCAGCGCCACCACCCCCTGCACTTGCTCCTCCCCCTGCCCCTGCCCCTGCCCCCAACCCCACCCCCGCCCCACCTGCAGCCCCAATTCAACATCCTCAGGGTCAGTATTTGTCATCTGATCCTCAGTACCGCACAACCCAGCTGCAAGACCTCTCTAGGTTGCCACCACAGGTGTCGCAGTCACAAGTGAATCAGGGGACAGCAGCCCAATCGTTTCCTCAGTACCTACAACAGTGGCCACAGCAGATACCTCAGCACATGCAACAACAACAGCAGCCCTCTATGCAAACACAGATTAGGCCGACATCAGCAACTTATTCTTATCGCCCAACACAACCGAGTAGTCAATCCCCACCTGAGGCAATCCCAAACAGCATGCCAATGCAAGTGCCATTCTCAGGAATTCCTCAACCTGCATCTAGCTGTGTGGATGCTGTTGCTTATGGCTACAATGTGCCAGGGAGAACTGTTCCTCCGCAGCCTGCACCTCAGCAAATCAAAAGCACGTTTGGAGCACAGCCAGGTGATGGATATACAGTTACTGGACCCCATCCGGCACTTCCTCAGGGAAGTACATACATGATGTATGATAACGAAGGCGGGAGGATACTCCATACACCACAACCGCAAGCTCACTTTTCACAGGGTGGATATCCTCCTACAAGTGTTCCTCTTCAGAATCAACAACTTCCTCCTGGTGCCGGTATTCTAGCTCGGAATCCTAGCCACGTGCAATTTGTTCGCAACCATCCCTATGGTGAATTAATCGACAAGCTTGTAAGCATGGGTTTCCGGGGCGACCATGTTGCAGCTGTAATACAGAGAATGGAGGAAAGTGGCCAGCCTATCGACTTCAACACCGTGCTTGATAGATTAAATGCGCTTGATAGGTTGAATCCGCATGCTTCTGCCTTATCTCAGCGAGGGTGGTAAGAATTAAAAGGAAAGCATGATGGATGGCTCAGTGTCTCCATACAGCCATTTCGGGGTGATGATCGAAGTAAGACGTGGAATAAAAGTCAGTGTTCTGTTTATTTTGTGAGAGGTTCAGATATTTTCTACTTGACCTCTTGTTAATGTTACTATGTACGTAAAGCTTATGCGAATTATGTAAGAATGTTTATGGTCAATGACACTTTTAAGTCAAAGAACCATCAAGTTGGTGAATTCTGATGATTGAAATTTGAGCTTGATTTCAATATCATGAAAGTCTGCTGATTTGCTATCAGGAAAATGTCACATAAATTTTATGGGTTGTTTGTGTTCAGTGTGTAATATAAAGACAATTTCCTTTTGCAATGTACTTCCTTTTTATCCCGGTCGGACCAAACACTAACTAGTAGGGTTCTAAGTTCACATATTTGTCCGAGTCATTGTAGTTTCGTCCTGATTCAAATTGAAATGAATGAATGAATTTGGACCGAAAAATAAAATTATATTGTATTTTTTAATTGGCAAATAAAAATTTGATTTATTTCGGTTTGAATCTTGAATTCTATTCTTAATTGGTCTTTGGTCCATCCCGATTTAGTCTCTTCTGATTTTAGACCGATAAAACATCTTGACTCGTCAAGTTTGTAATGAAAATACGATTTTTAATCTTAAACATCCTTGCTCATGGGTTTGGTTTGTGATGAGAGTGAAATTTTATCTTAAAAGTTTATATATACATTAGAATTTGCTTGTTTCAGAATAGAATCTTGAAGTTCATATATATATATATAGATATATATTAGAATCTATAAATCAATACCCTCATTGAAAAAATAAAAGTAAAGAACATGGGAATGAACTGGTTTTGCCTTATATAGATTCCCCTCCTCTCTTCATTATGAGTCAATTATTCCATGTCTTTCTTTCCTTTCACTTATAGATTCTTCATTCTCAAACCAACAACTTTTTTGTTAACCCTAAAT